TATAACAAGACAGCAGACAACACCATGAGCATCACACATGAATATCATTGACAGTCACTAGTTCATAGGCGTATAGTGCCACTTCTGATTTAGCATCCAAAATTTGCCCGTTTACATCACATTTATGCGTTGGTCAGCTAATTCCAATTCTATGAATCTGCATCTTCCTGATATCATGAGGCCTTAAATTAGGCTGACTGTACATTACTATCCCTTACACAGCCACCGATCACACAGAAAACAACGTAAAAGAAATCAGTAAAATCCTACATTTTCTCTGTTATTTCAGTCTATTTGATTCTAAGCCTGTGTCGGTTTAGCGAAGCCATATATAGCAATGTCAAGCCCTGAGCAAATAGTACCAATCCACAGAAGCTGAGGATATGCTGCGCAAAGACATACATTAATCATTCATCACTCCATCATGCTGAAAAACCTCCTCACACTGAACATCAATTATTCCTGACCTGTTAAATTCATCATAAGCAAACAAATTTGACTTAAAAAAGATGCAAAGACAAAGAGAGCCCTGTAAAACATTAGCTGCCGCAGCACACAAACAAACATTAGGCCAACAGTCTTCAAGTTACATTACAAAATGGCCCGAGTTCAAAATTAGGCTGTTTACTAATGAGAAATCTTTCTCAGCTGTGAATAGTCTCTTTACATATTCGTCTTTGGTTACCCTTGCCGTAACGCGACCACTCGTTCGGTCCATGCAAAACACGGGGCAAGAACACACATGACCAGAAAAAAAAGTGTAAGTGACTCCTCCTTCCTCTTTCCTCCCTTTTTTCCCTCCTTCCGTACAGGGGGTCTTTCTACCCTGTGTCCAATCCCAGTGGTCTGCATGCACACACACGCATACACACACACAGAGAGCCAACTTCCCCTTCAATGGGCCTCTCTACAGGGCTACAGTCAAGGCCTCACAGCTTCTGCCTAGAGTTACAGAAACTACACACAGGCGCACACATTCCAGCCTCTGAAATGAGCACCGCCACAATAACAACCTAAACATCACAATCCGGCTCCTTTAAACAAAAGGAACATATCATCAGAGCGACGTGTGCGAAGCAGGTCCTGCATGGCGCTGGCACTCAAACCAACACGACTATGAAGATAATACGCAGGTGCATGGGAATTCTGGAGCATACGGAAACATGTAAACATCCCGTATAGGGCAGTATAGATTGTGCTACTGCGGTACATTCTGGAGCGCAGTAGCAAATGCACACTTTTTTAGTCATTTAAATACAAAAACAAGAGAGAGAATTTCTTTTTCCTTTTTAAATGAGGTGTGTGCTCATAGATTCTGGCAGAATGATAACCTTGGATAAAATCATCAGTTTGACGATATTGTGATTAATGCTTTAAAATTTATTCTTTTTAAATGTCTGGGTAAAAGAAAACAAGAACTTTTTCCCACTTTGAATACAATGGTTGCGCCCAAAATTGCTTACTTTCATACTACATAGTACTCTATATAGTAAAAACAGTATGCAAGCCGAGGCGAGTAGCATGTCCGAATTCATAGAAATCCAAAATCAATATGCGAGAAGTACCCGGATGATCTGCTACTTCCAGCAAGATTCTGAAGTGCACTCCCGATAGACGCTACGCGATCTTATGATGCACCATGAGAAAATTCATGAATGGGAGTGAAGCGGGTGCTTCACGCGATCATGATATATTGGCTTCATTCATACTACTCACATTCCTACTGTATAGAACGCTCTTTTCTTTTGGTCGAGTAGTAAATTCAAATGCAGAACCCACAAGGGTTGTCGCGATACTATTCATTCAGGTTACGATACTATACCAGCTGAAGTATCAAGATGCCAAATAGTACTGCGATATTGTAATTCATAACTCAAATCTATTAAATAAAGGTCAGAAATACACATTTTAAAATGTTATAATAGGCACACTTGATTTTAATGCATAATTCCCTTATTGCTGGAAAAAAGTATTATTTGCAAGTCACTTCACCTGAAATGTGTTAGCTCTTTTTGATTATTTTGTAGATAACTGGCTAACAAAAAATACATTAAAATAAAGATACAAATTATAACAAACGAAATTTGTTACATAAAGAGCATTTTTCCTACAAAATTGGGCTATATGAGGTGGTCAAAAATCGATTCAATGTTTGCTGTTGCTATTTTGGGTTTTTCATTTATTTATTTATTTTTTGTTCAGTCTTATCAGGCAATAAACCAAAATAATTCAAAATTTTAATTTGTGAGTCCCTCTTTTGAAGAGATTGTTGAGCTTGTTCTAGCTACTAAATCATTTCAACAGAAACAGAAATGAACTGATTCAGATTCAAACTGAAGCGTCAGAAAACGTGCAATAGGCTACCATAAAAGGTGTGAATTCTACACATTTATGCAATAGAATTTATTTAGAGAAACATTTATAATATTTTGGAGCAGTAAACATGGCAGGCTTCATAATTCAAATGAATTTTTGTTCATTAGCTTCAAAAACACTGATTTCTTTACCATTTAAATTGGTATCTTTTGACATCTTCTCTGCTGTTGTCCTAAAAAAACAAAACAAAAAACAAAAAAAAAATCTTACACATACCTTATGAACGGTATAACAGAAAACTCTTGACTTTTCCAAACTGAGGAATACATTGATAACGGTTATCGTCCCATGCCTAGTGGATAGTGTGTGGTTTAAAGCAAGCTTTTTAAAATGATTTTATAAAAAGTCTCTCACAATTGACTGTATAAAATAACCGAAACACTGAAATTATGTGAAATTTTATTACAGTTCATTAAAATCACTGTTTTGTATTGTCATTTATTTCTGTACAGTCAAGGCGGAATTTTCTGCAGTCATTACTCAAGTCTTTTCTGTCATATGATCCTTCAGAAATCTTTTTTTTTTTTCCTTATCAATGATCAAAAGTTACACTGTATTTATTTAAGTATTGGAAAGAAGAATCTTTGATGAACTTGAAGAGCAGTATTGATTTTAAATAAATGAATACACAACATCTTACTAGGCATGAAACAATAAACATTTTCAAGGTATACCGCGATTTGGAAAAGTCAAGGTTTTAAAACCGCCAAAATTTTCTGCTATATCGTTCCTACAGTACATGTAAGATTTATTTATTTACGTTTCTTTTTAGCTTTTTTTGGGAAAGCAGTATCTCCAGCAGAAAATAGTTTTTTAAACCAATGAAGACAGCAGAAGTCAATGATTCATTTTAATTATTTAGCACGACATGTTTACTGCTCCAAAATGTTTAAAATGTTTTTAAAATAAAATGTTTTGTGTTCAAAGAGGAAAAAAGTTTTAGTTTTTTATCCAGACATTTAAAAATAATCTGTTTTAGAGCAGTAATCACAAAACAAATCACACCATCACAATCTTATTCAGCCCCATGCCTACATCTTACCATTTAACAGTAATGTAGATATGAAAGACATACAGTAGTGCTGAATAACAGGGAAATAGTATTTTGAAACCCTTCCAAGGTATCACGTCTAATCTTGTTACATGCTTGACTATCTCTTTCCATTTAAACTCAAATTAGACCATTGCAGCCCTGAATCTGCACAATGGAGAATCGTAGGAAAAGAGAAAACAACAACAGCCACTGCGTCACAGCCACACAAACACATTATCTGATACAATGCAGAGCAAATCTATTAGCCAATCCTACATGGGAAAAGGCTAACCATTACATTGATTTTAAAGGTTTACCACTTGACTCCATCCCAAACAAACTTAAGAAATAAGAATAAACATCTGCAGGAGTTTACTTTTGTTCATGCTAGTCGGACATGCCCTAACTAGTTGTCCATTTGGAGTGCTGAAAAGGTCCTAGGCCAGTTCAACAGACATGTTAAACAAACTCTGCACACTACAACAGATTCTCAACATACCAACAGCACAATGTGCTTTCATGTCAGAGTCACACGCTCTCTCTCTTTCTCTCCTATACGATCCATAAGGGCATTTTGTTAAACAACACTGCTGAGGTTAATATGACTGATATTACCTGAATATCGCCAGTGTTTGAATGCTTAAACATTTTTATATCAACATCAGGACTTATGAAACATACAGAGCACTATCAAATTAGTTTCTGCCCATAAAGCATTGTTATGATGACAGAAAAACAACAAGGGCAGATGTTTATATTGAAACAGTAACATTCATTTACAATGAAACATTACAACGATGAAACAGAAATATGCCAAAATATATGAATGAAAAATTAATTACATTGTGATTATTTTAATATATATTAGCAAATTATATATTAAGCTTTATGCAATGCTAAATTGTTTGCTAATATTTTACAAGAAAGTGACACCGCAAACTGCTATATAAAAGGTATCGCATCTGAAGCCGTAATACGTTTCCTTGTTGAGCAATTAATCATTCGTTTAGCAAATCTTTTACTTCACATAAAAGAAAAACAGTTAGCGAAGGAAAACTGATCTCCAAAAAAAGTAACTTTGAAGAGCTGCTAAACGCCACAGACGCGAAATTGTCGCTGTGTCTGGATGATGTCGCAGTTGAAAATTACCGCAACAGATGAGCTGATACGCAGCTTTACTATCACACTCATTAACATTACACGCTTTTATATCGCTTTGAATACAATTGACGCTTCATTAGCGCGGATTTGCTGCTTTAGGTCATTCTTCAGAACTAGCTGCACTCCGAGGCATGTGCAAAGTTTTCCATGTTGTATAACTCGCCAAGGTCGGTGTTTAAATCGCATTCAATCAGTGCACCAAACACACACACAACGAATACATTCTAGTGTTAATTTAGCTCACAAACTACACACATTAACTCTCTCTCTCGCTCCCTCTGGATCTCATGTGCCAGGATGAAAAAAGCAGTCACTTGAGTAGGTTACCTAACATTAGCAGACTAGCAGCTTTTGTTTTGAATTGCATTAGTGAGCGCACAAGGTTCACTTTGATAATAGTGTGTGTTAGAGTAAACTGCTCGCTTCGTACCTGCGTGCAACTTTTCCGATCAAGCGTGATGTGACTTTTGCTGCTTCTCTCCAATCCGTAACTTGTAAATCTTGTTTTTTTCTTTCTTTTTCTTCACGCCGAGAACTTGGCGCCAGCTCACATGCTAGCACGCCGAGAAAACACGCCCACCGCCTCGGCAGCGCAGCCCGCAGAGGGTCGCCTCGCTCCGCGTCCAGCCGCACCGCAGCCCCGTACTCGCGATCGAGCCTCTGGAGGAGCTAGTCGACGAGATGCTAACGAATTATGCTGGCTATCGCAGCTTTGTAATCCATCCCGCGCGGATTTTTTTTTCTCTCGCCGTGGGTTAACTAACGTAACGTACACACAAACAATGCACACGGTCGAATCTGAACGCGCTTCTTCCGCGGCCAGTGGGCGACTCGCAGTTTCCGGGCACAAAACAAACTTTGAACCCACGCTGGTTAGGACTGTAAAAATGTTGTACTTGACCCTAAATAGATGGGACTCCGTGTAATTACGCCCCGCCCCGACTCTACCCTGTACGGCGGATTTTCCTCCAATAACGGATCAAAGATTGTGCTGTGAGCGAGCGTCCGCTGTTTTGGTTGGTGTGACATCCTCTGCCACGCGCGCACTGTTTGGACAGGTCGGTTGTTCGTAAAGCGCGTGGGGACAACTCCCACATTCCTGAAGCAAAACACACTCACTCACTCACTCACTCACACACACTCGCGCACGCACGAGCTCCACTGCATTCACGGGCAGAGGCTGCGCGCGCACACACAAACACACTCGCACAATCACGCGCGCGAGGGGTGTGTCGTGACGTCAGAAGCAGCAGCGAGGTAAACAGTTTGTCCGCATGAGGTCGAGCATCATTCTTGAGTAGAAATGTGTCATGCGCTGAAATCTGCATTGCACTGCACTGAGGAAACAGTGGAGCGATTGAAAAGCATTCACTTAATGTGTTGTCGCAAACCTAACATTCCTTTTGCAGTGTGAAAAGGGCCTTGTTTATGCATTTTACTGTTCATTCTCAAATGGAAATTTGCTGTTAATTCATGCACATTTGGGTAATTCGAGATGTAGGTGACTTTTTCTTACATAGAAGATCAAAAAGTATATTTTAGCTGAAATGTGGTCCTTGTTGATTGATAAAATGCAAGTCAATGGGCTATATTCGCAGCTAGTGTTTTTCAGCCAATGAGGAACTTCCGGTGAAAGGTTTATGTGACTATTTTCAACTTCATATGGTTGTTTTTACAGCATCAATGCGGTAATCTAATTCAAATATAATATGTTAAATAGACTTAAGCATTCATTTGGCTGTTAAAGCGTAAAAAAAGACGAAAGACCGTTTAAACCAGTGGTCTCAAACTCAATTCCTGGAGGGCCACAGCCTGCAGCTCTGCATTGTTTACCTCCAACCACCTCCAACTCACACCTGCTTAAAAGTCTAGTCTTGAACACCTTGATTAGTTGAGTCATCTGTGTTTGATTAATGTTAGAGCAAAACTGCAGAGTATTTTTTCAAAGGAGTTTCTGCACTAGCCTGTTGCTAATGACGGTGTCTGTGTTTAAACGATCTTTTGTCCCTTTTTACGGTTTACAGCCAAATCAATCTTAAGTCTTACAATACAACATCAACGCTGTAAAAGGATCCTCATAAAAATAAAAATAGTCACATAAAGCTTTAACCAGAAGTTCATCATGGGCTGAAAAACATTAGCTGCGGATATAGCCCATTGCAAAGATTAATTGACTTTACAGATTCCCAGTGTTTAATATACAGGACATTATTTTATGACTGGAAGCTCATGCTTTAGACTGTTGAGGTTGTGAGTTAGTGTTGTTATTAATTAGGTAACAATGTTGTTATTAATTATGTAACAGTATTATTAATGCTGTAAATAATGTTCAGCTTTTTACACAGACCATTCCTTTAACATAAGACCTCATTTAATTATCAGGAGCAGCAGGTTTTCATCAAGCCTTGTCTGTATATATGCATTTTGACTCTCAAAGTGCTGGTAGCCATTGTCTTACATGTTATGAATCATCTAGAGCCACAGTTATGACAGAAATCTTCTTAAATGTTCCACTGAAAACAAACTCCACCAACACCTTGGATGGCCTGAAGGGGAGAAAATAAACAGCATTTTCTTCATTTTTGAGCGAACGATCCCTTTAAGAAGAGCATAAACACAACGCAAAACAATTTAAGCCTGAGCCAATAACCTACTTAACATAATAGCAGTCGGCCGCACTCACTACATTTACCGCAGTAAGTCATGGAAATGTCCGGCTGTCTTTTTTAAATATAATATTTGGGTTTGTGAAGAGATGAGTTCATGTTTTACTTGGGTGTGTCTGCTGCAGCAGTATAGCAGAGGCTTCTGTTTTAGGCCTTGACATGAGAACATGACGTGAGCGTGTCTGTAAGAGAAAAATAACATGCAGCTTTGATTGTCTTAGCTGAGCCACATGGGGGAATTCAGCCCTTTGGCACCCAGTGGGATAAGAAAGGTTATAAGCAAGCAGTGAATGTAGAGGTAAAGGAAGAGAAGCATGATGGGTTGTCGAAGAGAAAGGAGGATTCTAGAGGCATAAACGGAAGTAAAAGGGAGGTGTGGGGGTTGGTTAGGGGGTTTTCCGTTGTCCTCTCTCGGGAACATATGGGCTATTGTCTGTAAATATAGAGGGGAACGTGTAGGGTACTTAGCATGCTTTGTACATAGGAAATGTAAACAGCTACCCGTGATTATTGAATAGGTTTAATGCCATTACACTATTAACAAAATGGGATGTAAATCTATGGCTTGTGGTGTTTAATCTGGTTCTTATGACCTTCAGATGACTCTGTCATGATGTTTACGTAAAGGTCCCTCTCGTGACAGGCATCTGCAAGACTAAGATAATACTCACTTTTTTCCAAAACCTTTGTTCTCCTCTCGTGCATTTGCCATGCACAAAATGTTCTGACGGTTACAGTGATGTAACAGGTCATAACCTTTTGGAGAACACTGGAATGTGTGAGGCACATAGAATGTTACTCCATTGTAGGTCAAAGATCAAGGACAGCCAGCCAATCAGGATGCTGAACGGAAAATATATTAAAACATGCATTAAAATAATTGTAAAAAATCAGCAAACAAAATATTATCAGCAATACACTGTGTGAGTGAAAATAAAATTACCTCTATACTTTGGTGTTATAATAACTATATTATAGTATATGTTTATTATAGTATATATTTATTATAGATATATTTAATAAAGATAAGGAAGTTTTTTTTTGCTTCATACACAGCATTTAGCTTAATACCATGCAAAAATAGATAAAATTGTGTAGAATTTTACTGTTATTTGATCCTATTTATAAGCTAATATATACGGTAACTTTGTTTATAACACTGAAAATGGAAAACGAAGGGAAATCCCCTAATCTCTCTTGCTACATCTCGAATGAAAATGTTGAATGTAAAAAAAAAGGAAACTGAAAAAAAAGGTGTGGAGGCTAACGTTACAGTAATAACAAAAATATATATATATACATTTTAAAAACAAAACACCGTTTAACTCTTGCTAATACTTAATAATATATAATATCAATGCTAACCTTATTTGATTTTATTATGATCATTACACCTAAATAAACATTAGACACATTGAAGTAATCTTTAATACGGTTTTAACTATTTAAAAGACAGTCAATCTGAATTCATGGTATAAATTAATAGTAATAATACACGATACACTATATGGCTCTTTTCAGCTGTTATAGCTCAGTATGTTACTTTTTCAGCGATGAGCAAGTTGAACAGGTCGACAGAAGAAATATATGAAAATAGCCTACTTATTTTTTTCTGCAATACTGTATAGTAAATACGCAAAGCGCCTCAAAATATGCGGAAGATTTGGACCAAATTAAAGATATAATGTTATACTGACACAAAAGTTAACACGACTGATAAAGCTAATATTAGTCAGAAAACACAGATGATTTGAGTAAACATCGCTGCCGTGGCTAATAAGCTAGCCAGACAGCATATACACGACATAAAAGAAACATCATAAATTCAGACAGAAAAAACATGATAAACACGAAGACCCCTGTAAATGACGATAAAAACCACATCAACGATATAAAAAACAGCAGCGTGTGTATCCACGGGAGGAATAAGAGCACTGATGCGGCTCTTCGCGGCAGCGCGGTCCCATGGTGTAATGGTTAGCACTCTGGACTTTGAATCCAGCGATCCGAGTTCAAATCTCGGTGGGACCTCGTCCTTTTGAAAGTGCGGAAAAGCCACTGTAGTTGAAAATTAAAAACAAATAAGTTGTCTTGTTCAATTAGGAATCGCAAGGACAACGCTTCAGAGAGACAAACCGACGAGGAAAGTGATTATTTCAGCAAGAGCATGTTTACAAAGCAAGCAAGGACAGTGTCTTTGACATGAAGCATGATCACATGTCAGTGCTGAAGAGAAAATAAGGATATTTAGTAGCTGGTTACTTAAAAGGAGTCGAAATTGGGGACAATAAATGAACATTTAAGCACAATGAAAATGACCAGTGTTTGCTTTAATGGCCATTCTATTATGTAAACATTTGAAATAAGAGTAGAGCTATAATGGAATAAGTTGCATTAGTCCATCTTGTTCACATCGATTACTTTATAAAACCATTTTAGCTGTACTGTGGATGTAAGTGAAACGCTAATGTGAATCATACACTCAATCCACTTTATTAGGTACAACCTGCTAGTACCAGAATGGATCCGCTTATTTCATGACATATATTCACCAAAGTAATATTTCTTAAAGATTTGGGTGTATAATGATACCATCGGCTGCATATCCCAAAACTGGTGACTGTGGACGCTATTTGAGTTTAGTAAACTCCCTTTTATGTCCAAGTAACCAGTTTGAGGTGATTATTCTGTCAGATTAAGAAATGAAAATATGTGTACACTGTAAGCAACAGTTCACAGGTAGCCTGTGGTGTTTTATTCAGTTTGTTCTAAGGGGTGGAAAATATGCCAAGTAAATCTCACCCCAAACTATTATAGACAAACACCAGTAACCTTAACTGTTAATAAAGGGGAATGTGTACCCATGATTTCATCCTGTTTATGCTAAAATCAGACCTACCTGTAGCCTCTTTCCAGTTTTCTATTTTCCAGTTTTGGTGAGTCTCTTTAAATTGTGGACTTCTTGTTCTCATCCGACAGGAGTGTCACCAATGTGTTGTTCTTCTGCTGCTGTAGCTCATCTGCTTCAAGGTTTGATGTGTTGTATGCTCAGAGATGCTCTTCTGCAGACCTCAGTTGTACACACAAATTATTTGTTTGGCTTCCTATCAGCTCTGAACATTCTCCTATGACCTCAAAACATTTTCAACCATTTAAATGATGCTCGCTAGAAATTTTCAGGTTTTTTTGTACCCTTTCTCTGCAAGTCCTAGGTAAAGTTGTGCATAAAAATTCTTGTAAATCAACAGTTTCAGAAAGGCTCAATCTACATTCTGATATTCAATAATCACCATAGAGAACATGTACAATATTGATACAGTGAGCACTTCAAAATACAGTGAAAAATTATTTAAACTTTTATAGCGTTTTTAAACTTTAGTAATTCATTTTCCCACAAACATTTTCATGTTAATGTGACTCATAATATTGAAAATTTTGTGATTATCTATAGGCATTTGGTTCATTAATTCTGTACAGTAAGGCTCCATTTGTTAACATCAATCAAAA